GAAAAAAATTAGTATCAACATTGTTTTTTGTTTATTCAGAAATTGTGAGATGGGGGTCTGGTGTGATGTAGGTTTCAGAAAAACATTTTCTTTATCGTGCCAACGTTTCGATCTTTATTGAGATCATCTTCAGGCCTCAAAGTGTCTGTTTTCTGCGTAATTATGCCATTCATGCGTGTCGTGTTCAGAGTGCACTCTGTTTCAATAGTTTTTGTTCAGTTCATACTATTTTTTTTTTATTTATAATGACATAAAACCCAAAGGTTGTTGAAATAGCCCCAAAGAGGAGAAATTTAGCTTTCCAACGTTTGTGATACCGTGGAAATTGCACTAAATCATGAGGAATTATGCATTTTAAGTACAACAGCTGACAACGGAGAGAGAGAGAGAGAGAGAGAGAGAGAGAGAGAGAGAGAGAGAGAGAGATTGGCCCCCGGTTAATTCAACCCAAATATCTGTTGTTTTTTTTTGCTATAACAATTCGTATTAATTAAGAGCTTCAAAAAATGCTTCAAAGGAATCCAAATGGTCTATTCCAACAAGAGCCTTTTTTGGACCTTTTGGTACTGAAAACGTACATATATATATATATATACAACCATATATATATATATATATATATATACATCTCGCTATCATTGTGACGTCCGGGTATGAGAAATTTACCGCCTATCCTGCGTCCCCGACTATCGGGCGTCCGTATATCGGACGCCGGATAGTTTCCTATGCTAAATGACTCTAAACGTTCTGAAACGTATAAAAAACCGATTTTTTAAAAATCGATGAAATTTGACATGGGCGCCAAAAAGATTGCAGCATGAAAGAAGTGAAAATTTGTAGTTTCACCGAAATCCACCACGTCGCAACACGATCGACTCGTATATAAACTGAGTATACAAATTTGGTTTTCATTCTTCCGATCATCCAGCGTCCTCCCCTCTTGTTGGTAGTTTCTTCGAAATCCCCTTTTCATCTTACCGCACCAGCGATTGCCATCCGGTTTACTATTTAAGTTTCCAACAAAACAAATATTTTCATTTCAGGCGTCTCGGTTGAAAACCCCCACCCTCCCAACCAAACCAAGAAAAAATAAATAAAAAGAAAAAAAGTCACTCTTCTCAAAATAAACATTAAGGTTTATTTCCTTTAGGGATCTATTGTCATATTCCCAGTGTTTTTTTAATATATATCTTTTGCTATCGCAAATTTATTTCTCAATGAGATACAT